AATGACTAAACAGATTTGATAACCAACCTGGATCATATGTATATCCTCTTTATACAATTTTTAATAGAAAGTTTTTCTATAATCTTTTTAATATTCCAACTTTTACTTAACCAAATTAAAGTCACAAATATGATATAATCAATAAACTGTACACGTATAGGCATGCCATCCTTCTATAACTACATTTGTGTGTATTTTACTTTCTGTTTTTGTTGTTGCTATGTTGTTTGGGGTTCACAGTTTCACTGAGCAACATCAACACCAAAACACTGCATTCATAATATTCAGTATTAAAGACTCATATCAGTATTATTTGGTGCCCCAAGAAATCCTTACTAAGAGTCTCCTTTTTTATTTTGCAAACTTTAAATTTAATAAGGTTCCATTTAATTAGTCCAGGATTCAAATATACATTCATGCCAAATTTAGCAACCGCATGGGAGGTTAGGGAGAAAGGTATTTGAAACATTTCCACGGGAACAACCTTGGGTTGCTCTCTTAAAATATCAGTGCAGGGACCCACACTACTTCACATGCTATCCACAAAACGGACGAGGTGTGAAAGAAATTTTGTGTTCAACGTGACCTTTGGCTGTACTTTCACTTGTCACAATTATAAAGGAGCTTCTCTCAGAGCCAACACAGAAGTTATATTATTACTCTTAGAACTACAGTAGTATTTTACAAAGTACTTTATACTGTGGCAAACTCAAGGCAGAATATAAGGAAGCTCCTCCTTTGTTACGAGGCATAATAGGCTTTTCTGAATGAAAAGGGTTCTAATATTATACATATGAATGAGTAAGAATTATTGCACAAGAATTTTTTTTTAACTACATATTCAAACACAAATATGCCAGTGTGGTTACCTGGTTCAACTTAACAAATCATCTATAAATGCAAATAAACTGGAACTTTTAATAATCTAGTTATGACTTTAATAATGTAATATGCCATTTTAGATAAATATCTGTCAATAGGGAATTAAAAAGAAAACTACAAAAAACCACCCTTTTCTAGAGATTCCTATTTTCCTATACAACATTTCACTAAGGAAAAAAACAGTGGTTTTCAAAGATATTTTGGCCAAACTGCCAACATATCAATATATATGACATGTAACATGGTGGGGCTTTTTTTGGGGGGGGGGAGGGGGGAGGCGGCCGGGAACCATTGGATCATCAAACATAAAATTATAAATTCTGAAGGTGTAACAAATAGAATTCATTTTCAGTACAACGTTAAATATGCCACCAATTAAAAGATTTACAAGGCAAAATGATCATAGAATATCCTGTAATGTATGACATCAAGAGAACCTTTAGAACTCTCTACTATACCATGAGCAACTTTGCTATCCTCATCTTTCTGTTCCCAACAGCAACACCTCTTTACTTTCACCTTGAAAATAGGCTCCATAAGCTGTGAAACATCATCAGTCACACTTTATAAAAGTCATAGCCACAAACTGCTGTGTATAGCTAACAAAAACATAAATACTAGCAAAAGAAGTTTTACCATAAAATCAAACATTTTTAAAGATAGTGTATGTGAATTAAGATTCCTGTTAAATATATGTTATATAAGGCTATTAGGAATTACTCAATAGGCATGTGAGATATTACTACCACACTAGTAATGGCGTGTCCTAAATTGGAAAATAAATTATATGGTCATCCTAGCTATTACAGTATTTCATATTAACTAACTCATAGGTTTGGGGCATTTTATGATGTCATATTAATTATTTATTTGAAAACCCTAACTTAAAACTTTGAGTGATTCACACAGTACCCTGCTGTTCATACAAATGCAGCTACTTGGGGCACTCATACCAACATCACCCAAACTCTACTGCTACCTAACTCTAGCTCATCCGCTTTCTGATGTTCTTTGTGTGCTTCAGACCCAAGGTGAGAAAGACTGCCCTTTGTTTTCAGGTAGCAAATAGAGTTAGAAAGATCCTGTTCTCTTAGTCTCACACCAAATTGACAACATTTTTCCTTTCTCCTGGAGGCTCTGTAGAATCTTTTAAATAATTACATTTAAGTGTTTAAAATCACAATTGGTTATTTTCTCATTCTTTTTATGTATGTGTTAAAATGCTTAACTGTATATAAAACACTATATTTAGAGTTAATTTAATAGTACGTTTGTGGTCATTCTTATAAAAGCTTACACATCAGACTCTTAATCATTCTTTCAACAATATATGTGTATCTAACCCTGACAATACCATTTTTTTAATAAAGAAATCCAATTTGACCTAAGAGAGCCCTGGAAATGGCCTTGGGCTTAAAGTCAAAAAGATCTGAGTGTTGGACATCTACAAGGTAAACCATACAATCTCCCTGAGGCACAAATTCTTCTTTACATAATTCTGGTCCACTATACAGGATTACAAGAAGAATCAAATCAGAAAATTCAAGAAGCTCAAGTTCTTCCTCCTGTTTAAAAAAGATGTCCAAGTGTTCTCAGAGCCTGGAGCCTGCTTTGGATTCGTTGTCTCCCTCTCCCTCTGCCCCTCCCCTGCTCACACGTGCTCGCACGTGCACACTCTCTCTCTCAAAAATAAGTAAACATTAAAAAA